ACAGCTGCCTGCATGTAAGGAGAGCCTGCCAGCTTCACCTGGAAGAGCACAGGCCGACATGGGGGGCAGGCAGACGCTGGCAGCTCTGGGGGTCAGCAGCCCACTGCCCTCCGCGATGGCAGACCCTGCAATGCCCTGGCAGACCCCCCTCAGCCCCTGCTCCTCCCTGCCCCTAGGGCTGCAAAGTGCAGAAGCCGATGGTGGTGGGAGCAGGGGAAGGCAGGCAGGGCTGGGTGAAGGTGTGGGTAGTGGGGGCGTGGGTGTAGCTCCATGAGCAGGGCTGGCAGGAGGGGCTGTGGGCAGCAGGGAGCAGCCTGGCAGGAGCAAGGCCTGGGGAGGGGCTGGGGGCCCTGCTGCATCACCAAGGGGTTCCTCCATACACAGCTAACATGCCCCTTTGGCTGTCCCATCTACTGCACTTCTGACCCTGCTCTCAAGTACTTCTGGGCCTCTCATGCTCCCCCAGCCCAGCACATCAACCCTGGGTCCTGGGAAACCACCTACTTTCTTCCTTGCCCCTGCAAATGGGATGCTACTGGCCTCAGGCAGTGACTTCCAGTGGTCACCACTTCCCAGAGACTTCCAGTGGTCACCACTTCCCAGAGAGGAATGCAGTGTCCCCTCCGCAGGGTCTGAGCACCCCAGGGGCTCTGAGCTCCATCCAGCCCACCCGCTCACTCCTCCCGCCTCAGCAAACCCAGGAACATCCACAGCTCCCGAGCATCTGCCCATGGCTCTGGCTCACCGACTTGAGCCTTGACCATGCAGACACTCGGAGCCAAAGGAATGTAATGCATACTCACAGCCTTCAGCTGTCTTTCCATCGCCAGGGAGCCACTGGTCTCTTGCCTGCAGCCCCTTGGGCTCGGTGCAGGGCTGGGTAACCGCTGCCATCTGTGCTGCCTGGCCCCACAGCCAGCCCCTGTCCTGCGCCCGGGGGCCCTGCTGCACCTTGTGCTGCTCACGGTAAGGGATGCTCTGGCCTCGAACAGAGAGGGTGCCCATGGCGGCAGGATCCAAGCCCAGGCTGGCTGGCAGCTCGGTGTTGGTGCTGGGGTTGCGTACGAACCGCTGTCCCGAAGACCGGACTGGACGTCCCAGGAGCGAGAGGGGGATGAGCGTCATTAAGCAGTGGGGCTCCTGGCCACCAAGTGCATCCCAGAGAGACTGTGGCTGGAAGGAAAGAAAGCAGCTGCAGCTTAGCTCTGGAGGCCTTGGCAAGAAACGGGAAGGAAAAGTCTTCTCTAGTCATATACAGGCACTCACTAAAGCATTGCCCTGCACTTTCTCCCACAGTCACTGTCCCAGATTCAGATCATCTAAAGGGTCATGGCAGCTGCCTGCCTGATCTGCCTGCAGCAATGCTGAGACACCCGTTCTCTGCCCAGAACATTGGGCTGAGCTGGAGCAGGGTTTGTGGAAAGAAATGCCAGAGTGCTGGGAAGACTCAGCAACGAAGGATCTGGCCCACCCACAGATAATCATTCGCTGCTGAAAGATTTATCCAGATTTTTGACAGAGTTTGGGTTTCAGGTTCCGTTCTACTTTTTCTGGAAAAGGAAAAGGCAGCAACCATTCGTTCTTACAGATCAAATCCCATCTTAGACATCTTTTGTTAAATTAAATGGGCTATTTCCAATTTCTTGTAAGGTACTAGAAGACTCCTAGGTCCTGAATAATCCCTGTAACTCTGGTGTCTTGAGTTTGTCAGCATCCTTCTGAGATGCATCACCCTTGCAGCCAGGAGTAGGAGGCCTTTCTGAAACAGACAGTGCCACTGGAAGAGGCAATGGACCTTGCAAGGTTTTTATCAATAGCAGGTCCAGAACTAGATGTTCCCCAACACAGCAGGTGACAGTGCTCCAGAACAGCCCTTGTAGCCTAATGGAGCCCACAGGCAACGGACTGCAGGCTTCCTTCTCGTCTGGTTTTAGATCGGTAGTGGTTTGGGAATTGGCATGGTAGCCAAGACTCAGTTTGAAACAACCACACAGATCTCCTTTAACTCTAGGTCTAAATCCCAGTTCCCCTGGTGCAATCCTCTGTGAAGCCCAGCTTTCTTCAGCTGTACACCTTGAGATGGTCTGGGACGTGGCAGCAGCAATGCTGACGGCTTACAGCATAGCATGCTCTTGCAGAGCAAAGATGACTCTGAAGGTGGAGCCTCAGACCGAGGGCTGAGCCCCACAGGGTTTTAGGCACATGCACTAACTCATCAACTTCCCCGTGTGGGGGCAGGTGTAATGCAGAAGCAAGATGTTTAGGGAGAGGCATTGTTTGCAGTGTGGAATCTACCTAAAGACTTTACTTTTTTTTTTTTTTTTAAGACATCCCTACACTTCCCTTCAGTCCCTCTTTGCTGTGTGCGCTCCTTTACCATGCTCCTAGCACATTAGTGCTCCTAGCCTACCAAGGAATTAATTTTATTTGGCTAGGAGAATCACACTACTGCTCCGAAGCACCAGCTCACACTAAGCTGTGTGCTGGGGACAGCAGGGTCCAAAAGGAAGTATCGTTGGTCTGTTCTTTGGAATACTGGGGAGAGGGATCTTCTGGGGAAGGGTGCATGCAGGCTCTATGCAGACGATTGGCACGCCCCCAGCATGCCCATTTGGAAAGGGACAAAGTCAGTAACGGTAGGAAAAACCCACAGACACAGACGCTACGCTGGGTCTCATTTAACAGAGCCACACCAGAGATGCTCAATGCCCATGATTCATTCCTCACGATCCTCCCACGAATGGCTGTCTCCTATGTTGGCCTTGCAGGATGGATCTGGGCAATCTTCAGTTACCTGGCTCTTGGAGGTAACGGTGCAGGATTTTTGGGTGTTGGCTGGCCTATTGGTTGTGGGGAGCAGCTGGGAGAGCTGATCTATGATGCCCAGGCCTCGGATAAGGTTCTCACGCTGCAGAAGAGCATTTACTCTTTTCTTCTCCTCATCTTCCACAATATCCTGGGGTTGCACAGAGTCATACTGCCTGTGCTGTACCTTAGGAAAGAAAGACCTGAGTTACAGCAAAATTGAAGCTGTAGTAATGCACAAGAGAGACAAAGCCAGGGACTGGTCTGAGCCCTAAAGAGAATTACAGACTTTGGGGTGGAGTGGGGCAAAGATCCTGGTGGGAGCCACAACAGGGAAAGGACAACGCTGGTGCTTGCAAGTACCTCTCAGCACAAGCTGTCAACTCTCTGGACTTCAGGAAGGGGCGTCAAACCTCATAGTTCTGTTCCTTGGGAGACACCCATGGCCCAGCATGTTCCTAGAGCCATGTTATTGCCTTTGAGACCCCCATGGACAACCACTGACAAAAGCAAGGTACCTTTCTATCCCACATCCTCGTGCTTTTATACGTGAGGTGGGTTGTAGGGGCTGTGGTTTTATTATGGATCTGGGATTTGTCCCCAGCTGACTCTCCATGCAGGTCTTCTTTCCTCTCCATTTTCTTCTTCCTGGTAAGAGCTTCCAACTTTTCCTTTTTCAGGCGAATTTCCTCCAGCTGCTGCCTGCCATAGAACAGTAGTCTTAGTCACTGATTCAGTAGGAGCCATAATAGCAAAAGGCTATTATGAAGCCTTCAATCCAAGGACATTTTACTGCAGTCAGAAGTTCCGTAGCGAATAGACCATAATAGAAGCGTGCGAAGAGATGGGCCAGGCATGCTTTTAAAACAGACTCTCACCACTATAAGAAATGCCCTTCAATTAGGCTGTGCCTGCCAGAAGGGTGGAGGACACTTGTGACATAGTGTCTCCAGAGTCCAAAAGTCAATGGAATATTGCATGTGCCTCCTCAAGGGTACATGCTTTCCTATGGTGATATAGCACATGCAGACTCCTTCCCTTCCAGCTCTCACCAGCTTGCTTACATCTGTAAAGCAGCAGAGGCGTCCCCAGGAAGGGATCAGAAGCAAGTGGTCTCTGTGCCACCCCTGTGAGAAGCGGGTTTTCCACAGGAGCAGCATACCTTGCACACTCTTCTCGTGCTTTGGATGATACTGTTTCCTGGAAGAGGGAGCCACTCTGCTTGAAAAATGGCTCATACTTGTCTGTTCCACATGCTGGATAAATGCGCCGGTAGCCGCCCAGGTGCGAGTTCTCGTACTTCTCTGCCTGAGACAGCCAGGCAGCCTGGCTGGTCTCTAACTCCTCGTGTCTGCAAACCGGGAGAAAGCACTGGTAGGGAAGTGTGATGGGAGGTTCCAGATGCTGTCCTGGATGAGGGGCAGGGGCCTAGCTAGTTCTTTCCCCGTTTGGGAGCCTGTTTCACATGGGTGCACTGCATGGAACCAATACAATGACACTTCTTCACCCCCTACCTGTAGAGTGCTGGTGAAGCATTTCCAGATCGCTCCCCTGCTGCTTGGGCTCACACCCAGACCCTCAGCCTTTTCACCCAACTAACCCACTTACAAGAGAAGTCCAGTTCAAATGTGCCTGTTCAAGGCATATCTGCCACCCTGCGTGCTGCTGGGAGCTTTCCTCACTAGCGGGGAGCTCGGAGCAGCCGAGGCTGCAGGGGCAGGCAGAGTACAGGGCTAACACGCTCAGTGTCTCCAGCCCAGAGTTATTGCAGGTCTCCTAATTGAAATGGGAGCAGAAGGGAGTTGCTGCCTCACCCTGCATGGCAGGAAAAGCCTGGGCAGCAGGCTCATCTAACATGACCTCATGAAAGGACATGCAGACAGAGGAGGAGGGGAAACCCTCAGCCTTGGGAAAGGAACCCTGCTCTGGAGAAGGGCCCTGTGCCCCTGGGTGCTTTTGGTCCCCAAAGCAGTGCTGCAGCCTGCCCTGCAAGCTTCACTGTGAGCCCAGGGATGCTGGCACTGCCCGTGGGCACTGAAAGACGTGACAACCAGGCGCAGCTCAATGGGGACGACTCTGTACAGGGCCCAGAGCACCAGGCGTCTCAGATCTCCCAGCGCGCAGAGACGAGCCCTGGCTCTTCCCCACAGGATGCAGATGGCTTGGGACATCTCTTCTCAGAGGCTATATAGTGCCATGGCCTCTGGGAGTTTTAATTTGGAGACAGCCAGTCTTTGTTTTATCCTGCTCCGCCATGCCCGGTCTTTTCTCACTGGGGACCTGCAGTACTATGGGGAAGAGCAATACCTGGATGCACGGAGAGTCTGATGGGCCTGGAGCAGCCGTTCCTTTGCCCGCTGTTTGTCTTCCTCCAGCACCTTCCTTTTGTTACAGGCATGCACATTTATCAGGTTGATGGTATCACAGAGAAGAGCATCCTTCACCTCACGGTCTAGGCGAGAGTCCGTAGTGAAGCTGGGAGAGTGGTTCACCTGCCAAAACAAGCATCTAATCTAGCCTGGGAACTCCCAGCTCCCAGAATGTGCTGCCAGCAGCCAGCTCGCTGGCCCCAGTCTGCTCCACCGCACACTTTCCATGGATGTTCTTCCCTGCAACAGCAACAGAAAGCAGCAGGCTGCACACAGTGGCTTGTTCTGTCCTTCTGCAGTGTAGTGCCCACCCGCACTGCAGGTCATTCAGATCCCACTAGAGGTGTGGGGCAGCTGTCATGAATTCAGGATGCTGTTACAGGTCAAGGAATCCTAAGGTTCAGGAAACTCCTTGCTGTTAGAGAGGGTGTACAGGGAACGGGCCCTTGGATTCTGCTTAGATCCCAAGGAACAGCAGGTTTCTTGGCTACTTGTCTTCATAGCCTGTTTAATTTTGTGAATGAGGTGGCCCTTTTTAATCAAATGAGTTCTGTTCATCCCACCACCCCTTGTTCTGGAGCCTCCTCCAGACAAGCCAGCTCTTGACTGTCTGCTGCTTCCAGAGTTGCTTCAACACAGCACGAGACTCCTTCCTCACCTCTAGCAGCCACGGCTTCAACTTTCTGTCTAGCAAAATATCAAAACCCAGTATCTCAAAGCACGCACAGACAGTAGTGTGGTTTGGAAAGCAGCTTTGGTAATTGTGCTTCACAACAGGGTGAGCTGAAATAAGAGTCTTTATAATAATATCTTCAATATCTTCCCAGAGTTTTGTTGTGTTGTAGCTGTTATCTGCCATCCAGGCATTCAGGGTGGACAGTTTCCTGTGTGGAGGACAGGAGATGATAAGAACTGACTTGTGATACCATGTTTGCCCCAAGAAAAATGGAATTAAACCAGTGTCCCAAATGCAGCTTTGCTGCAGGATATGCACAGGGCATTGCAGCACCTGGACAAGACAGTACCTCTTACTGCCCATCGTGTCATCCTGAACGAAGTTTTCATTACGTTTGTTGATAGCATAATTGGTCAAATGCATGCAGATATCATCCTGAGAGAGGAACCGCAAGAGACTTTCGTTTATTCTTAACCACAGAGCAGAAATAGAAACAGCCCCATTAGCACTAATCTAGCCACCAACTTCACCGCTTCTGTCTCTTCTCTGTGGCGGTGACTTGCAGCAAGAAGTTAATCATGCTGGTGGTTCCCTCTCTAGCCAGAAGTCAGAGCTGACAGAGCTCTACCCTCTCCACATCTCTGTCCTTATCTCTGGGGGAGAGCACAGGAGTCAGCTCCACAAATGCCACTCCAGCTGTGGCCTCACCAGTAAACAAGGGACTCCTCAGGACAGAAGCTGCAGCAAATTTCTGCAGATTCTTCCTCTTCCTCTGTTCACCCAAAGCAGAAGAACTCTCCAAGACATGCATGTATCAGAATGATGGAGGGTATGTACATATGCAGCCCTGGGACAAGTGGGCAGATAGCCAGAAGCCCAGGGTACCTCAGGCCAACCCGTGACCATAGCACAGCAATCCAACACTAGCATCCATCTTCCGCTGGGATTTTACGTATTACAGACCCCTGCTTGGAGATTGGCACAGCCATAGCCTGCACCTTGCCTTCCCAGTTCCCCTCCCTGTCTCTCCTAGGCTGTTCCACTACCACCAGGGAATCCCCAGGTCCCTCTTTTCCACCCGAAGCACAGGCAAACAAGGACTGGTGTGGCCTTGAGAATACTCATAAAGGCAAGAAGCAGTATGAGTGTTGCCCAGAGATGCCACGGGGTCTCTGTCCTTGCAGATTTTCAACCCCTGACTGAGTGAAACCCCAAGAAACCAGATCTGAATTTATTGTTGACCCAGTTTTGAGAAGAAGGTTGGACTTGACACCTTCCAAGGTTCCTTCCAAGCAACACAACTCCATGATTCTGTGATAATGCCAGTAAACAGCCCAAACATGGGGCCTAGGAGTAGATCTACCACAGACACTCCTGAAACACCTCCTGTGAAGAGGAGGTACAGAGGGAGGAGAGAACAGGAAAGAAGAAAGCTGGGTGCCATGAAACGCACCAGCCCCTGCCTTTTCAGGGTCTGGAACGCTGCTAGGACAAATTGGGGACTAAAACCTCCAGGTACTATACGAGTTCTTTGGGAACTTCCCTTTTTTACCAGGTTGCTGCTGCTGGGATCGATGTACCTCATGGTGGCAAACCGGGCCAGACCCTCCTTGTAGACAAAAATCCTCAGCGGGTCACAAGATGTGACCAGCACGTAGATACGCATGTCAAATTTAAAGCCATCAATAAGGAAAGGCTGTGAGAGAAAAAGGCAGGAGCAAGCATGAGACAATGAAACATTGCCAGGCGTGCTGCCGACTCCTTGAGGTTGGCTGCTCTATCTGCACTGCTTGTGCCACTCCTTGGCAGCTCAGCAGCAAGGAGAAAGGCAAGCTTTTGCCATGCCTCTGCTGTGCTGCAGCCACCCTGGTGCCCCTGGCAGCTCCAGGAATATGTAGGCAAAGGACGCAAGGAGGATGCGGGATGCTGGGAGAGCTAGGAGGTTGCAATCCTCCACCTGTATCTTGAGACTGTCCCCATTACCTTAGAGATATACTGCTGACAGATCATATGCTCTCCATGTTTGATCTCCTCTGGATTACGTGTTATAAAGATACCTTTCCCTTGGCAGCCGCTCTCTGGCTTGCAGATGAACGTTCTGTTTTTCCTTGCACGCCTGTAGGCCTGGAAATCTCCATAGCTGTGCAAGGAAGGGGTGACTGTTAAAAGCTGCAAAAAAACCAACCCTTCTAACAGTTCTCAAACTGTGGTGTTGCAGGCCAGTACAGACCAAACTTCTGCAGCAGAGGAATAGCACACCCATTCCTGATCTACGTCAGTTACAAACTGGTCCTTGTGCGACCTGACAAAGCTCTCCTGGTTCCACCTTTTATCTGCTCCCATCTCCACCTCTACTGGGAGGCTCATAGGAAGTGGTCATCACCGGCCATACAGGGGCCAGTAAGATTTTGGCTCTGCTGCCACAGAGAGAGCAGGAGAAAACAAGCAAGCCCTGGCTACAAAAGAGGAGGAAGTCACAAGTCTTTACCTCCCTTTTTATGCCAGCTCATCAGCAAGCTGGCAGGAGGCCACGACCAGAGCGTTCTAAGCAGGGCGCAGAGGTTCGTGAGCTGAGCTCCCCTATCACGTTACGTGGCTGATCTTCCAGAGCAACTCCAATGGGAGTATGGTGCTTCGAAGAGTCAAGCCCATATGCCAATTAGTTATTTTGCTGTAGATGGAGAAGCACCATTTCTATAGTGGGCACCACATTTAGTGAAAGAGACAAACAGAACAAATCCTAGGAAAAAGTGCCAAGAGCAATCTGAGTCCAGGAAATGCAGCCTGGAAAGAAAGACGAGAGAACTAGGTCAGTCTTCGCCAGAAATGGGAAGACTGAGAGGACATGTGGCAATATACTCCCTGGACATTGTCACTATTAGCAAAACACAGCAAACCACTGTTCTCAAGGGCCAGTGCAAATGGGAGAAGTACTGAAGTGCTGATATTTCAGCAAAGGTTCTTTAGGTCAGATATTAAGAAAAATCATTCTAACTGTGAGGAGAGTTCAGCTACAGAACAGGTGACAGGAGCCCTACTTTGAGGTCATCAGGAAATACTAAGAATAAAATCTGTCTAAGAACGGGTATCTTGTCTCCTTACAACCACCCAAACTTCAAGTGCTCTTTGGTTCCTTTCAGCTATGTTTCTATCATTGCTTGCCTGTATATGATCAGAGAAGCGAGGCCTTCTGCCCCAAAGCCTGAGTAATTCGGTGATGGTTTACATCTAAACTGTATACATATTAGCATAGTGACCTGCACTCTCCCACCACCCTCCGCCATTAGTGTTCTCTACTGCAGCAGGCGGCAGAGGTGCAGGGGGCTGTGAAGACGGCTGTCACAGTCGGTGGGGTGGAACCGCCTCATTCCCTGGTCCTGTGCCCTTCCTGGGCAGGCCACGGGCAGCGAACCAGCCGGTGAGGGAAGGCAGTTAGCCACGCTGCCCTGCAGTTGCCTCTCCTGTTCACCCTGAGCTGCAAAGAGACCTTCCACCAAAACACAGATTTACACCTCCCACATGCCCACTGCCCTTTGGCTTTGCGGGTGGGTCCCTCTCCCCAGGTTTAGCCCGTCGGCACGCAGTCTGCCCAGCAGCAAGGCACACATCGCAGAGGACGCCATTCCACGGACTAATTCAATCTAATAGGAATTAAAGATGTATGAAACTAGAAACCTGTCTCAACACCCGGTTCAGTTCCAGGGAAGGTTATGAAGGTGCAGACCAAGACATGAGATCTCAGAGACAGAGACACCCCCCCGCCTCATCCCAGCACGGGCTATCAAGCATAGGGGTTCCCACTTCCTAATTTCATACCGCTGTTCTCATCTGCATTAATACGTTTCACTCACTCAGCCGGCAGGCACCAAGTGCGAGGAAATATATTGTACTCCTTGGGGAAGAGCCTGAACATGCGGTTAAGGTTGCGAGCCAGCAAGTCCTTACGGCAGATCTCTATCATGCCTGGAAAATGGTTGATTTTCTGAAAAAGATGCAGACAAAAAACAAGATCAGCAAAGGAACAGCAGGGATCCTCCTCAAGACCCGAGGCAAGCCTGCATGCAGAGAAACGAGCACGCAGAACAGGAAGCTGGGCCTGTGGTTGCCTTGAACGTCTGCTGAGGGACAAGATTACGCTACAGCTGCTTTATCTGAACTTCACCAGTGTGATTTATCAGCTCGTTCCATCTCAGCCCTGAAGCTCTCCCTCCCTAGAATATCACAGCTTCAGGATGGGAGCCGTTTGTCATCAAGAACCATCTATTTCAAGCTACATTAAAGGGGTTGGCAGCTTTCCAATTCACACTAACTGCCAAAGCGTTGTTGATGGCACTGTACCAGAGGCACAACAGAAGTAAAGGCTTGTGAACCTGCATCCTCTGGAACCAATGCAGAGAAGGGGTCACGGGTGCTAGTTTTGGACAACTCTGTTAAGTAGTGATAGAATGAGAGGAAATAGCCTCAAGTTGCACCAGGGGAGGTTTAGATTAGATATTAGGAAAAATTTCTTCACCGAGTGGTCAAGCATTGGAACAGGCTGCCCAGGGAGGTGGTAGAGTCACCATCACTGGAAGTGTTTGAAAATCGTGTGGACGTGGCGCTTCAGGACATGGTTTAGGGGGCATGGTGGTGTTGGGTTAATGGTTGGACTTGATGATCTGAAGGTCTTTTCCAACCTTAATGATTCTGTGATTCTGTGTGATTCCGCAACACGTTGTTCCACTAACAGCCCCTGTCTCACCCTCCTTCCTGAGCTCTTCCTGCTGGGCAGCCTTTATATGTGGGCATTTACCTGAAACCGCTTCATTTCCATGACACGCTCGAGAGAGACTGAGTAGTCTGTCCAATACACGGTCCACTCCTCGTTTTCTCCTGCTTCTTTCAGCCCACAGCACTGTGCTGCCCGCCGCACTGTACCAAAGCAAGCACATGACAAGGGGCCAGGCAGAGGATACAAGTACCAGGGACTGTTAAATCCCCAAAGTAACCAGGGACAGAGTGTGGAACAAACCTCTCCAGGCTGCAATTCCACTCTCAGAGATGCAAGGTATTGGCGGGATGCTTCAGGAGGCATCAGAAACAGAAGCTTTACCCAGCTAAACTCACCCCAGCCTCTGGCTGCAGGTATACTGGGAGCTATCAGCCCCGTAAGTAAGTAAGTAAGTAAGTAAGTAAGTAAGTAAGATCCCATGCCTTGGGATCCCACAGTACCTCCTGAACTACAGCAGGCTTGAATCCACCGTGGGTCTGACACCACACGGGTAGATACAAGTCTTCTGAAGGAATGAGTTTCATCTTTGAAATCAAAAGCTCTGGAGCAGAAGGTCACTGCTGGGATGGTTCATGTTAGTGCCAGTTCTGTGTTTGACCTCTCACAGGGCTGGGGAGGCAATGAAGGTCAATTCATGTTAGGAACCGTCATGAAACGGTTCTGGTTCCTGTGGCACCCAGGTTGCCACTCCACCTCCTGCTGCGGGTTCCCTGTCCACCTCCCGTCACCAAACTGCCAGAGCATGGCCCTAGGCGAAACATGCAGCGCCTGTCCCTCTGTATAAAAACTGTTCCTTGCACAGCCAACCAGGCTGTGACCTTCAACAATGCAAATGTGGTTGCAATGCTACAACAGTCATTAGCAAATTGGCTAATACCATCCATCAAAAGCGAGGAGTCTGTTCTTTTAAGGTACAGCTTGTGGCAGCAAAGAGCAAGACAGGAGAGGGGACCAGCATCCCTGAGGCACGTCGCTGGAGATGGACGGCAAAGGGAGAGGTTCTGGGTACCACTCCTGCCTGTTCCATCACTGACTTTACGTTAAACAGTTGAGAGGTCTCGTGTCATTTCCCCAAGCACAGGTACCAGTCTTGCATTGTAACTGCCCCTAATTAAACCCTTCTCGCCAATTGTAGCAGATGTACGGCAAATGCAGACGGATGGAGGGGCTCGAGGGCTTGCGCCGCTGTTGCACATTTTGTATCTCTTTAAACCAGAGGACACCTCAGTCCAAAGTGTGAAAAACTCCATACTTTTCACAGGGGGACAAGTCACTTGCAACCAATACATAAGCTGAAAGCGACTGTGCAGTGGAAATTTGGTACCAGTGTGCCTGCTGGGCTGAGCGGGTCCCCAAGAGCTTGCTGTCAGTGGGCTGATCCGAAGGGACACCCTGCAGCGTCTCCGACTTACCGCTCTCGTACTTGCAGCTGGTCAGATTGATGGAGGGAACACTGTAATTGAAAGAGATGACAGAACAGCTGCTCAGCGAGGAGCTGGGGCCCCGTCATGAGCACAGACGCGAAGGGGACAACTGTGCTCCACAGAGCTAATGGGCAAATCTGATCTGGAGCCAACACAGGCTCACAGCTGTGAGGCAGCATGGCAAAGGGGGATCCTGAACCCAGCTCCTTCCTTGAATGCGTCAAGTTCGGGATTCAAGGTTCGGGATTACCGGGACAATTTGA